AACAAACTCCCAGGAAGATCAAGGCTATCATAAGAACAGAGATGGAACTTTAGGAAATCAAGGAAATACTCATCTACATCAGGAGAGAGAAGAAAGTAGGACACATCTTCAGGCACAAGGAGAGACCGGAGCCATTACAAGACAAAGAGCGAAACAGAATTAATTAAACAGAAGAAGAAAAGAAACTACTATCAATTAATATAAATGGTTTAAACTCGACGATAAAAAGGAAAAGGATAATAGCTAAACTAATCAAACAAAATGCTGATATAATATGCCTAAAAGAAACTCATATAAAGAAAACAGATGAAAACTACCTAGAATGTCCGAAATTAGGGAAGCTATTTACCGCACCAGCAGACATGGGGAAAAAGAAAGAGATTGCAGTATATGTTAAAGAGGATTTGAAAGCAGATTTAATATGGTCGGATTCTGAGGGAAGAACTCTGGTTTTGCAGATCTGGATTAATGTCATCCCAATTCTCTTAGTGGTAATCTACGCCCCGAACGGAGATCAAAAAGAGTTTTTAAAGCATCTTTATGGAAAAATAGTAGGATTGGAAAAAAGAAATATTTGTATCATAGGAGACTTTAATTCTATTGCTGATTATCAAAAAGACCACAGTAATGGGGGGAAGAACAAAGGGGGGAAAAGAGAGCTTCCCAAGATATGTATAGAAATGATGAAGGAGTTAAATTTGATTGATATATGGAGAAGATCACATCCTGAGAAAAAACAATTTACATTCTATTCAAATCCTCATCAAATATGGACACGAATTGATATGGCATGGATAAATGGGGAAATAGCAAATGAGATAAAAGGGATTGAAATTTTACCTAATGAATGGGCAGATCACAATCCAATTCAGATAATATGGAAGGGTAGGGAAAAACCCAAGAAAAGATGGACGTTAAATACTCAGTTAATAAGAGAAAAAGAACACACCAACAAACTCAAGGAGGAATTAAATTATTTCTTAAAGGAAAATGATAATGGAGCAACTACGAAACAAAACATTTGGGATACAGTGAAGGCAGTAATAAGAGGTATAACAATCTCTTATAACGCCAAGAGGAATAAGGAAAAATACGCCCAGCAAAACAAATTACAACAAAAAATTAAGGAATTAGAAACTCAATTACAGAGTACCCCAAAGGATTCAAAATTGCAAAATCAGATAATAATAATTAAACATAAACTGAATTTAATTGAACAAGAGAGAATGATTATAAATTTGAATACAACTAGACAAACTTATTTTGAGCATGCTAATAAGCCAGGGAGATGGCTATCATATAGACTAAAAAAAAGGAAAGAAAAGAGATTGATATACCAGCTAATAGATGGAAAGGGGGGTATACAACAGGAGATAGAACAGAAAAAAGAAATTGCCCATAAATATTTTGAAGAGTTATATAAAAAGGAAGAAGTTAACGAAGATAGAATAAGAAACTATTTAGATGAAGTGAAGGATAAAGCAATTGGGGAAGAAATGGAAAAATTATTAAACAAAGACATTACTTGGTTTGAATTGAAATCAGCAATAGAGAACCAGAAAAACAATAAATCCCCGGGACCAGATGGGATTCCAGGGGAGCTGTACAAGGCAATAGCAGAACAAATAGGACCTCTTATGGTGGAAGTTTTTAAGGACGTCTTATTGGCAGCCAGGATGCCAGACTCATGGAGGGGGGCATTGATTTCGCTGATCCCGAAGGAGGATTCGGATCCCCGATATATACATAATTATAGGCTGATTTCACTGTTAAATACTGATTACAAAATATTCACTTCTATTATAGCAAGTAGACTAAAAAGAATGTTAAATGAGCATATATATGAAGATCAAAATGGATTTCTCCTGACCAGACAAATCAGGAACAACTTAAGAATAGTACCAGATGTCTTAGAATTTTATGAAGCTCACCCCGAAAAACAAATTGCACTTATGTTTTTAGATGCAGAGAAGGCTTTCGATAATTTAAATTGGCAATTTTTAATCAAAAAAAATTATAATATGAATTTAGGCACCAAATTTGAAAATATTATAACAACCATTTATGATACACAACAGGCGAATATAATAAATGGGGAATATACCCGCCCAATAAAAATGGAAAAAAGGAGTCAGACAGGGCTGCCCACTCTCACTCCTGCTCTTCATATTATCATTAGAAGCATTACTAATGTGAATTAGACAGAACCCAGACATAAAAGGATTAAAGGTTAAGAAAGAAGAATATAAGTTGCAAGCGTTTGCGGATGATATGATTTTTTTAAATTGAGGAACCAATAGAAAGAGGACAAAAAATGATGAATGAATTAGAACAATTTGGAGCAGTAGCAGGACTTAAAATTAATAGGAAGAAAACAAAATTAATGACTAAAAGTTTAACAGAAAAACAGAAAGGCAATGCAGGATATGAAGAGTAGGGGAGGGCTGGCACTTCCAAATTGGGAGTTGTATTATAGTGCAGCCTCTTTAGTATGGTTGAAGGAATGGGTGAATTTAACCAATAAGAGAATATTATTCTTAGAAGGCCATGACTTGCAAAGGGGATGGCATGCTTTTTTATGGGATGTAGAAAAAACTAGCCAGAAACATTTTCACAGACACCTAATCAGAGACTCATTATTAACTAATTGGAAGAAAATACGGAAAAAATACTATTTAAAAATACCAATTTGGATTTCAACAATGGAGGCGATAATTCACCCAAATAATCTGGATATCACTAAAATGATTAAATATAAAGATCTATTGGATACACAAGGAAATTTGAAATTGTGGCAAGAACTTCAAGAGTGGGGACTAAAAAAATTGATCAGTGGGCATATCTTCAAATTCAAAGTAGATATAAACAGGACAAGAAAGAATTTGGAATTAACAATAAACTCCAGCAATTAGATAAAATTTTATTAGGATCAGGCAAAAAAAATATAACAAAATTTTATAATTATTTATTAGAAGTAGAATTAGAAGAAGAAATTGTAAAAGGGAACATGATAGCCTGGAGTAGGAATATAGGACGTAGCATCACCATAACAGAATGGGAAAAGGTCTGGGGTAGAAATAATAAAATTACAAAATCGGTAGCATACAAAGAAAATGCCTATAAAATGTTTTATAGATGGCACCTTCCTCCTTCGAGATTAGCGAAGATGCACCCCAATATGAGTCCGAATTGCTGGAAATGCAAAAAGAAAGAGGGAACTTTTTTCCATATGTGGTGGTCCTGTACAGAAACTCAAAAATATTGGCAGAAAATTAGAAATTGGCTGGAAGAAATGACAAGAGAACAGATCGAATTCAAACCAGAGTCCTTTCTGTTAGGGATCTTTGATAAACAAATATCAAAAAAAGTGAAATATATAATAATACACATTTTGACAGCGGCCAGATTGGCTTTTGCACAATGTTGGAAGCAGCCTCATGTTCCATCAGAAGAGATGATCATTCAAAAAATTTCAAGTTGTGCAGAAATGGACAAATTAACTTTGGCATTAAAAAATAAAGACACTTCAATATACTACAACAGCTGGAACTGCTGGTACAAATGGATAGACCAAAGATAGACTTCACACTAAAAGGCAAAAGAGGATAGGATAAATCCATAGTAGTGATACACAGATACATGTAAGGATTAGGTGTGTGTATATGGCATAAAATAAGGATAAAAAAGAGGTCTTACAAACTGTTGATGAGAATGTTTTTAATTGTTTTCTATTTTTTTCTTTCTATTTTCTTCTCCCTTTCTTCTTTTTGTCTCTTTCATTTATGTATGTGTTGTTGGTTTGTTTTAATTGTAAAATCAATAAAATTTATTTAAAAAAATAAATAAATTGTGGTGCTCAGAGAATATTTTAAGTGGGATCTGATCAAAGCAGAAAAGAATGGAATATTTTTTCCCAGTGACTTGGAAATTAAATTACTTGATGTAGCCTAAAATTGTATGTACCTTCTATTGCTAACCTCTGTTCCATTTTCAATCAACTGCTGTTCTAAGATCTATTTCTGGTTCTATTTTCATATGATAAATCCCCCATTTTATAAATAATTTGATCTTTTCTTCCCCGAGTGAAGAACCGTATATGACTCCATTAAATTTTATTTTGTTATTTTCAGCTGATATTCCAGCCTATGAAATTTGTTTTATTTCTTAAGATACTAACTGTCCCATCTAGTTTTTTGGTTTTAACCTTTATAGGGGAAAACATTGAGAGATTTTTGTATACTAGGTGGTATATATGTTACTGGCAAGATGTGTGAAAAGCTGCCGTTGTATAAAATGCCTAGGAAATCTATAGAATGTATGACATTTTTAGGCAAAGTATGAAATGTCTGTGTTATTTTCATGTGCTATATACTTTCCCTATGCATTATATATAATATAGTTATTATATATAATGCCTAGGCATTATGCAGAATGACAAGAACTATTTAGGCATGAGAAGAGCGTCATGAAAAGGGTCAGGATTACCCTAACTGTAACCTTTTATTTAAAAGATATATATGAAAATGAAAGAAAAAATGCAAAATAAAGTACAAAACTTTCTTAATGGAAAAAACAAGAGAAAAAGACCAGTATTAACCCACTTGTTGCAACAAGGAAGGTTAGAATGGCATTTTAGTGGGAGTATTTTATACTTTGCTGGTTTGCCTTTTGGCATTGCATAGAATACCGAGGAAATGTGTGAAATATTAACTCTTCCATACTTTGATGCCCCAGTTTTGGCATTCTATAAAATATCTAATTTCACACATTGATGGTAACATATACATACTGAAAAATAATTTCACAAGTAATAAAAAAATTGTATGAAGAACAATCTTCTGGCAAGAAGTTATGATAAACGTTGTGACGTGCTTTAAAATTTCCTATGTGCCCATCGACCACAAACACATAGTAATCCCTGTTCTAACTAAAATGAATTATAGAACATAAATAAGGTGGTGATACATATAATACATTTGAAATTTGGTTTTGAAATCTAGGGCACAGATTGGAAGACTCTGAAAAAATAGAGCTACTAGTAATAGCAGTGTCGCTGTATATGGCTGAACAACTTAGATCACAGAGATTTCTGGGAGCTCCAAGGTAAGTTTGATTCTAGAACATTTTGTTAGTTAATGGTGTCATAGAGAGCTGTTGAGAACTGACAAAATTATTATTTGTTCCCTTTAAACATTTTGGATATGAATCTAGGTTCTTTTGCATATTACATATTAAAGGTCATCTGGACAATAAGTCATCATTGATTGTAGATGAATCTAAAGCTTCAGATTGCCTCAGATTTTTGGGCAGAACTCTTTAGAAATTCAGGAGAGGGAGAAAATTAATAAATTTCTTATTAACTAATTATTTAATATCATTTGAAATAAAATGAATTTATTTTTATTCTGTTTGCTATCTGATTTTTGGATTGTGACCAGGTGAATCACAGTATACTAAGTATAAAAGAAAGGAAGGAAGGAAGTAAAAGAAAGAAAGAAAAAGAAAAGGAAGGGAGGGTGGAAATGAAGGAAGGAAGAAAGAAAAAGGAAGGGGAAGGAAGGAAGAAAAAGAAAGAGAAAGAAAGAGAGAGAGAGAGAGAGAGAGGAAGGAAGGAAGGAAAGAAAGAAAGAAATGAAGGAAGGAAGGAAGGAAGAAAGAAAGAAAGAAAGAGATGCTGTGCAGCTCAGGTAGCAATCTTCTGTTCCAAACAACATGCTGAAATTCAGAAATGTGGAAGCTGTGATATTGTATGTATGTATGTATGTATGTAAGTAAGTATGACATTTATGACATTTGTTGCCTATCTCGTATCAAATGAGCATAAAAATTTTAAAGCATTAAAATAACAATCGTAGAACACAATGGATAAAATCATTAATAAATACAGACCATTAACACCAGATGGGAAAGGAGGGAGCCGGACATACACGGTGTAGGTATGGAGGTGGGATTAAGTTTTAGTTAGTCAACCACCTCCAGTATGAAACTGGAGTTTCAGTTTTGGGAGAAATACTGATTTTTATATAAATTGCCAAAGCAGTACAGGTTAGGTTACTAATTTTAAATTTTATAAATAAAAGCATTCAGTCATCTGACACTTTCCTATAAATAGAAATATCTTCTCCATTGCTTTCATGCATATATTTAGGAATATACATTCAATATACTGTATTTAAATTACAATTATGTGATAGAAATCTGCATGAAATTAATAGTTTATACTCAATATGTTGCTTGAACGTTCTGTCTCTTGGTTCAGTACTATCACTGTAAACCTATTTTTATAGCTTAGGCATATGTATGCTAGTTATGGCTGGACGTTTCATTTTTGGGTGCTTTAAATCATATTTGATCATTAAAATTGTTTTCATTGAGCTACTTTTTATACAGAGGGTAGCCTTTTTAAGTAGACATCTGCTCACACAATGGGAAGTTCCCTTCTGTTCTTCTTCTCTACATCCTCTGTGCTTGCCGAATATGTTCTGATTGAAATAACATAGTGATTTCTTAGTTCTTTTTAAAGGAATAAAGACTCTAAAATGTAAAGTTATAGATTCAGCATTGTTTTTAAAAATGCAACCATTTGACACCTACATTCTCAAAATTTCATGGATTTAATTGTACTAGTTCATATTCCAAATCTATATTAATTGTTGTCTTAAATGCATCTATTGAATGTCCTGCTGGCAAATAAATTCTCATGAACCTTCACAATTGGCCATATTAGCCAGGCATTTATGGAAATTAGAATAGCACAGGTAGTCTTCAACTTACAACAGTTTGTTTTATAACCGTTCAAAGTTAGAACGGCACTGAAAAAAAGTGACTTATGGGCATTTTTCACAGTTAACGACCATTACAGCATCCCATGTTTATGTGACCAAAATTCAGATGCTTGGCAACTGGTTCATTTGGGACCTTCTGAATGGGGAAGGCAATTCACTTAACAACCAGATTTCTAACTTATCAACTGCAGTGATTCACTTAACTGAGGCAAGAAAGATCATAAAATGGGGCAAAACTCACTTAACAAATGTCTCACTTAACAATAGAAATTTTGGGCTCAATTGTGGTCATAGGTTGAGGATTACCTGTACAATATTTGGAAGGTTGCATCTTACTTATTGCTGATCTAAGATACAGAACATCTCTGTTAGGAAACTTTTTGTGAGGGAAAAGTAGCACGAACTATTAGCACATGTGAAAACTCAGGTTTGTCTAAGATCATCAGATGTTCTCTCATGATAGTATCTTTTGGGGGTGGTATTATATTCAGTGGATCACCTCCTAAATGATCATTCTGGCAGCAAGTGGCCATACTGTGTTTGTGTAGTGTGGTTGATTTCCATATCCCTCATCTTGGTGAGCTTCCTCTGAATTTGTTTCTCTCTGCTGTTTTTGAGCAGTGGTCTGCAGAAGTGGAACTCCAAATGGGTCTGACCAAGACAACATAGACTGCAGCAATAACCACCCATGATTTGGCGCATTATCTTATTAAAGTACTGCAAGTTCGCATTTTAGTCTATCCCATGTTTAGCTTGTGGCTTACAAGGATCCCCAGATCCCCATTGAGATGTGATGAAATTAGATGTGTTACATCTGACAGCGTACCTCCCCACCCCATCCCCCAAATAACTAGATATATTCCTACCAGGAGTTTGCGTTTTCCACTTTTTAGCTTGGAATTTTAAAACATACTGTTCATTCAATTATTTTTCCCTAAGGGCAGTGTCAGAGTTATTTCTTCAAACTAGTTATCAAAATGTTCGATATTATAGAAATCTAATTGACAGATGATATTCAGATAATAGAACTAGCGATTTTCATGCAAAGGAGTTACGAACAGAATGTGTTTAAGTGCTTTGTATACTTTAAAATATAGGTTTTACTCTATTTACTTAATACCCTGGTTTATTATAAAGCGGGTACCACTTTTTGGTAAGGATCAAGTTTATATTATGCAGTGAAACAAAAATCTTGCAATTGTCATGATAAGAATATTGTTTCAAGTGAAAAATTTAAGGTGTTCATCTCCTATATTTGGCTGGAAATCTAATTTATATAGAAGATTAGGAGAATAAATACTCCAGGTGAGCCATCTCATGGGTCTATCAGTGTAATGTTTGTACTTCTAAACCCAAACACCTACTGCACTTCCTATGTGTTGCTTGTATTGACTGCTAATATTTTCCTATTATCACTGTAAGTTTTGGCCTCCCATAACATGGAAAAATCCACTGTCTTACCAACAATGGCACATATGGAAAAAGCTGCCTCTGTACTTAAAATGTGAAAAATTCATTAAAAAAACCCCCAACAGCTTATTTGTTTAAAATTGAAGGTAATAGGATATCTTTCTTGCAACTTGGTGTCCTCTGGATGCTCTTGATTTTGATTATAGTGGCTGGAAATTATAGAAGTTGAAATCAACACAATTGGGGGATATCAGATGACAACAGAAGCAGCCATTTGAAGACCTTGTCTAGGTAGACTGGCCCCATTTTTATTTCATTTTGTTGGGCTATTACGTTTCATTCAAATCAGACCTTCCTTTTTTGGATAATGAAATGGAGGCAACAGATTGTTGGAAAATGTAAGGATTGTAAAATTTCAGGGCTTAATTGAGAAACATTATAAATGAAAAGAAATATAAGTACATGCTGTACTTGCGACAGCTACATTTACATTGTTATTTCAAAGAAGTAAAGCTATTTGGAGTACAAATCCTATTGTGATTTGTGCAGCATTTTTTATTTCAAGAAGGAACCTGCTGTGGTTCTCTGGAATACCTCAGGCTACCAGTTACTTGATGGTGTAAGGTAGCGAAGGAGCCCTGTAAATCACTTGAGGTGATAGCAATATACTTGAGAGATAAGTGAGTTTTTTTGGTTCACCTTTGAGTATGCATTCATAATAGCTAATATAAGAACCTTAGATCAGTAATGATTAGTTACATTCTAAACTTGTACTTTAAAATAAACTTTTAGTGAAAGATAATTTGTTTATATGTAGTAAGACAAAAAGAATTGAAAGGGTTTTTAAAACCATGTTATCTTTTTAATAGCATAGAGAAACTCCATGGTTGTCTACTACAATATTAATAAAAATAATGTCAAAGTGTCTGAGAAAACACTCAGGAAAAAGTATCACTTGAGTTTCTGGAAATGTTATAAGAGTAAAGCAATGGATTCTTGTAACCTCTCTAAAACAATGTTTTATACAAAATACTGTTCATTTAGATATAGTTATTCACTATAGTAGATGAATGATACATAAGACCAAGCACATATGTTGTCCTACAGTATCTTGATATGAATGCCTTTGCAGCGTAGGCTTTAACAATATATTAATATTTTCTGGATTAGCTTACATATTCACTAACTGCTGTTATATCAAGATGAGATTTGAAGCTCTGCCTCTTGATTTTTCGAAATGGCAATGATGTAAAAAAAAAAGTCTGGTGTAGTTATCAGGTGAATTTGAGCAACATTACTAGGAGTGCTGAATTATTTTAAAATTTACATTGCTGTTTAGTAATATATAAAGATCTGGATTGTAACCTTCATTTTATCAACCCATGAAAAAAGAATCCTGTATAGATTTCATTGGTATCTTTCTGCTCAGATTTTCTATAATTGATCATCCTTCTGTGTGGATGTATTATTTTTCATGCCTGTTCAAAACACTAATTACAGTGGATTTGTGATAAAGCAAAGAAATACTGGGGTAAGATTCATATTTTAATTCACAAGATTCTTAAATATGTTTAAGAATATAAAAATTAAACCAGGCTTAATGAACCAAAATCTTGAAAGAAATCGGGAACCTTGCTGTTATATATGTTGATAGCAGCAAGAATGCTTTAGGCACAAACATGTTTAATTCCCACAATGGCTGAATGGCTGGAAAACAGATGGAACTAGGAAGAGCAGTGGTAGTGTAGAATGCAGTATCATAGGCTGACTCTGCCTTCTGCCTCAAGCTTGATCCTGACTGGCTCATGGTTGATTCAACTTTCCATCCTTCCGAGGTTGGTAAAATGAGGATGCAGATTGTTGGGAGCAATATGCCAATTCTGTAAACTGCTTAAAAAGTGCTTTACA